CCCTAAACCCTAACCCTATGCAGATCTTCGCTGCCTCTGAGAAAAACCGGCAGCGAAGAGGCCCTGAAACCCCTCAGAACCTTACACCCTAAACCCTGGAAAGAGTTCCTAGATTGATATTTCTAGGGTTTAGGGTTTAGGGGTACTGAATATAAAGAAACTCACAAAAAAGGACACCAAAGAGCATAACCTGCTAGGTTTTTTCTAGAAACCCTAGTAAAAAACCTAGCTTTTCTAGAAAAACCTAGTAAAAACCTAGCTTTTCTAGAAAAACCTAGTAAAAAAAAACCTAGCTTTTCTGGAAAAAATACCTAGTAGAATACGACGAGGCCCTGGTCGAGCCGACCACCTTCCGGGCTTTGCCAGGGCGAGGTCTCGAGGCCATGGAAGCAGATGTTGGTTATCGGGATCTTAAAGGGACGATGTGAATACATACAAGCATGCCTACACAAATATTATATGATGTATATATGCACACGCACATACATACATACATACATACATACATACATACATTCATTAATTCATTCATTCACGGCAGGTCTCTCAGTCAGTGTTGACTAATGCCTGAGCAGGAGGCAGCGTACGGCCTCAGTAAACACTCAAACTCCTTGCCTTTGAGCGGCAAGTCTTGCAAACAGTTGAACCTGTCTGCGCACGACCTGTCTGGCGACACGCAGCTCAGAAGCTGCCAGATCTGCCCCCGCTCTGATCTCAGAGCGCGCTGTACTGCTCCATGGCATGCTTCTGGCGCCTCGCACCCACAAACAAACTCAGAGGCCTATTCCCTCTAGCTCACTCAGTAGACGTTGCAGCTCTCGAGCTCCCCCACTCTTCGGTGGTAGCCCTCGCTTCAACTTAGCGCCTTTGTTGACGAAACACTTGGTGAGAGCTGCTAGCACTGGCTCCAAGGAGGAATGCACCGAGAAGTGCACTCGAAGCTGGCGTTTGTCGTAGCAACGTCTGGTGCGGCAGACGAAGACTTGATCCAACAATATATTGGGGTCAGTAATGCTCTCGGCATGCTGCTTCAAAATCTCTTGCGAGTC